GATTCTATGATTCTATGATTCTAACAGTTGTTTGGAGAAAAAAACATTTTCAAATTTATATATTACTAAACCAGTCTAACCTCTTTTATTTTGTTTTCTCACATAATTTGCTAAATTTAGGCAGAAAACCAATATTACCAAGTTTGGAAAAACAAAATTATACCTGGAGCTTCATATGGTTCAGGCTCCATTGCTCCAAGATCATCTGCCAAAAGATCAGCATCTGAGAAACAAATAAGTATTTACAAATTTTAAATTTTTTAAATGAATACATGATACCACAAACCCTAGAACAGAATATTATGTAAGAATAGAGTCAAATTTCTAAGCAGAAATTCTAAGCAAATTTCTTCTAATGCCAGCAAGATATGTATATGGATCGAAAGAATAAAATTTATAATTTTGTTCTTATATATAATACTGAGAATGTGTATACACACAAACTCTATACACATTTGCTTAAAAAAAGATGACTCTCCACGGAAATTTCTGTGTGAACGTAAAGAAAGTAGAACATATTCACTTTGCCTTCTTAATAGTAATTTTAAAGATTTAAAGTAACTGGAATTTGAATTTCTCCTCTATTCCCCTACTTTAACTTACACCGTGGATGAATAAAAGAGATACAGAAACAAGGAGGTATAATAGACCCAGACTGAAAAGAATTACTTCAGTTGTGAAGAAAGAATCTCAGTGTACTTCCAGCAATCGAAACTTTTAGATGGCGTCCACGTCATGAATTTTTCACAAAGAGGTATTAAGGTATATGTAAAATTTTCAGTACTGCAGAGAAAAAGCATTCAGAAATATTTTTCCCTAAATTGTATTTAGATCATAAGATTATGCTTTAATATTTTGATTACAATTTTTATCATCCTGTCAATGCCCCAAGGCAGCAGGATATGACCATCTTCTTTAAACGATGTTATGTTCTCAGCAGGACTTGCAATATAGTTTATGTATAACATTCTCTTAGAGAGCCACATTAGAAGGAAAGTAGAGTGAGAATAAGTCTGTCTACAAAAGGCTGTGCTAGTAAACTCTTAAAATTTAGTTTAATAAACCAGAAAGTCCCAACGCAGACTCCATACAGATATTACAGAAGTCCCTCTATTGAGGGAGATATGCATACCTGGAGCACAGATTCATTTGGTTGAAAGCCAATATAGCAATAAGTAAACAATAATATATTGTTACCTGATTCCAAAACACATGGCATTAAAATATCCCATTTTGATTTAAGAAATATTTATTTGCTAAATAATACTTGCTGTGGTTGACATTTGCTAAGTCTCTATCGCAAGTAGAAATGACAAGTCAAGTTTTTAATGAGACATATTTCCATTTGTCTGTTCTTATTGTTGGCAAAATTTAATTTTAAATATATTTAGTCATTCAGATACCTTTCTGAACTGAGTCTGGTATCTCATATGCTTCTGGCATTTCATTCTCTAATTCTCTGAGCAAGTCATCTGTTGTAGGAGCTTCAAAAGTTTCTTCATGTATTTCTTCCTTGACTTGCCACTGGTCATTTATACTTTCATCTACATCTTCGTGTCTCTCTCCTAATCAATAATACAGATTGTTAGAGAATAGCTACTCTTTGGTAAACTCTATTAGCAGCACATATTCAGTCTTCAGCACACCCTTTATGTTTTTCAACTAATCCCCAAAGGGGACGGGGAGAGGGACAGATGACTTGTCTGCACCTTCCAGCAGTATAAACCCAAAGTATCTGCACTGACTTGCCAGTGCTTGCCAGTGTGGAGAAAACCACAGTAAAAACCATCTCTGTTTACCCATTCTTGCACTCTACACAGTATTTTGAGGAAGTTTTTGTCAACTGACTGATTTGACCTACCGCTGCCAAAAACCTCGGGGTAAGAGGCTGCAGTTTTAGGATTTGGTGACTGAACTTTTGAATTTTCTTGAAAATGACAAATTACAGATTAGAATGTTTTGTGCAGGCAAAAGTACTTTAAGTGCATACGAAAACCAGACTCTGAGATTCATCTACCCTATGGCAGTATTTATAAATTCTTCAGTGATTTTTAAGTGTTAAGGCATTACCAGGCTGGGAATGGAGAGCTTCATGAAGAACAGACCGAATTTCCTCTTCCAATTCTATGTCAGCATTCTTGTGCTCTAAAAGAATTATAAATTGCAGTGAAGGTAAGTGCAAAAGGCAAAGTCTAAACATTAGCTCAAGGTTTGCAGCTTTTGGTAGCCTCCATAAAGTTCTTATTCCATTTCATAAAGTTCTGTAGTGATCGACTTGGTGAACCTCTGCAACTCATGCAATTACAAAAACAATTTGGTTTTGCTTACTCTCCAGTATGGAAAGTATTGCATCAGTTACATCAGATTCATTCTGAAGATGAACTGGAAGAATCTATCTACACTGCACTTTCTGCACATATCTTTTTCTCAGTGCCAGTAACATGAATAATTTCAAATAACTATTCAAACCAAGAATTCTCTTATAAGTAATTATTTTACTAACACTTTCATCCATTACTTTCCTACAATTTAGGCAGCAGCACTAGTATGCCATATTTGACAACAAAATGTCACTGTCAGAAGTGGGGTTTTGTTGGTTTTATAAACAGGGAAAATAGATACTAACATTACAATATCAAGGTCTTCTCCTGGCAATTCATAGCAGAATAAATCACAAACTCATTTCAGGGACAAGCGATTGTCACCTAACACACCAGCCCAGGACATAACAGGAATTTGTATGAAGAGTTACCTTCATATAAATGTTATGAAATTAACATTGAGTAACTCAACAACACAAAACCAAATCAGCTGCATTTTTCAAATAAAGATCCAAAATGGATCATCTTAGTTATGGAAGAAAAAAAAAAGAAAAAGAAATTACATCTTAACTTGATATATTTTATACATGGTAACAAGAAAAATAATGCAAGTCTTTTAAAACAAATTCTATATTCCATTTTATTGACCATATGCTCCACATTTGTGGGTTATTGTGTTAGGTTCACATAAACATGATGTAGGATAAGCCTCTTCAAGGAAAAGGAAAAAAAAAAGTACTCTCTGAATAACACTAAAACGCAAATCACATATCTGGAATGTGACATGTAAAAATATTTTCTCTTGAATTCCTGTTGAACCTAATAGATTTTACTAATACTTGTGGGGCTCTTTTAAAATGTTTAAATTATTTTTTTCAATACTAGAAGCTGTATTTATGATATACTATTGGTTTTAGTGGAAAAGTGAATATCTGATTAACCTTATGAAGTTTGTTGTTTTTTGTTTGGGTTGTTGGGTTTGGGTTTTTTTGTGGGATTTTTTTTTGTTTGTTTGGGACTTTTTTTAGGTGGAGAATCTGCTGTTATTCTGACTGGGTATACTGTTGCATATGTATCAAAACCAGAACTGTACATCAGCAGAAAGTTATTCTGATATGATATGGTTCCAATGGTAACCATGAGAGCTGACAAGAGTGCCTTCTATACATTTAAATTATGAACTTTTCATGGTCATTGATTTATATAAAGTTATCAACAGTGATTTCCGTTAAATAAACTGTAGTGGATAAGCAACACAAAATCAAGGAAAGATTTATTTTTCTACCCAAAGAAATAACACAATGAGTTTGCATGCTGAGGAAACAGAATTATAATTCATATGAAGCATCACGTCTTTTGTTTCCCCTACGGTTTACTAAAGGCCTTACCTGATTCAACATATGACTTCTCAGCAGGCTGGATGGTCTCCTCAGATTCTGGTGATGTTGGCTGTGCTGGGACAGATCTTTCTTTAAGGCCTGCATTTTTCAGTTATAAAGTTAACTTTACGGTTTTTTTGATCTGATTCAATTATAAACTAAGAAAGTTGTTTCAATTAAATTAATTGATGTTAAACTCTCCAAAACGTATTCAAACAATTAATCACAATTACAGGGCTGTCCTGATATACAGTGACATATACAAAGACTAAAGTGTATTCAAATAGTAAACATGTTTTGAAGACAAACATACAATGAGGGGGGAAAAAAGGGACAGAAATTTAAGTACTTGCCTTTACTTTAAAGTAACTGAACACATGACTATGCTATTCTCAACATTTACTCAGCACCCAGAAGAAAAATAGGCAGCAGGTTTTTCTCTTTGGGCAAAAAGTGCTTCACATGATCAATTTTATAGGTTTTATGAAGAACTAATTTGAACTTTATAACATGCTGCTCAGAATGAGAAGAGGTATTTTAAATTCATATGTTAAATCTTAGAAGATCTGAAGAAGAGAACTGTAGTTTCTTCAAAATAAGGTAACCTCAATCTCCAGTTTCTTTTGACAACTAAATTACTACAGAAAAAGTACGACTGATGGAATTTCACGACTAAGATGCTTACTATCTATACCACAGAGACTTTCTAGATCAAAACACAATGAAAAGAAAGCAACCAGTAACAGCAATGATCAACACCACAGTAAGAGATAAAGATAATCCATAGCCTTGAAAGATTATGCCACATCTTAAGACACCACATCCTCAAGAAAGAATGTATTGGTATTAGCCTAATCCTCCTCTCAACTATCCTTCACAAAGGATTCAAGCAAGACTTAAGAGAGGTTCAGACTGGATATAAGAAAAACTTCACGCACACACGCACCCACACACATACCCCACCATGAGGACAGTCAAACCAGTGGAAAAGGCTGCACAGAGAGATTGTGCATCCCCATCCTCAGAGGTTTTAAAGACCGCACCAGATAACGGCCAGCGTAACCTAGTCATACCTCTGAGATGACCCTGTTTTGAGCAGGATGTTGGAACAAGGATCTCCTGAAGTCCCTTCTAAATGGAATTCTCCTATAATCCTACATCATTTTTCCTAGGTTCATATTTAAATATAAGTTCCAAGGTCAATTAAGATAAAACTACCTTCTTAAATAAACACACACACTGCCCAAAACAAACTTTCTCAAGAGCTGTATGCCCAGAAATCAACAGAAAAATAATATTGAAGAAAGCAGAGGCTACACTATAATGAACACTCCTGTATTGCTAACAGTCTTGTTAAAGTAACTTCGAGTGGAATAATATAAGTATTATATTTTGAGTCAGTAAAGTTTAAAAAAAATAATTACCAGGTTTCTACTGGAGTCAAACATATCTCAATATAAATAGGAGTAGTGTGCCTCAAAACAACTTTGTGTAAACTAGAAAGATTTTATTATTTTATGCATCATGAGAAAAACATATATTTATTCCATTACCCCATATAAGTAGTAGGAACAGGAATAACAGAATTAATCCTACTTACACCTTTTTGTTTTAGTTAAATTACATGAAGATAAGTAGTTAGGCTGTATCTAAAAGTACTGTACCTAGGAGTCCACTACTATGGAGTCAAGATCAGAAGCTAGAAGAAAAAAGCCAAATTTACACTTCATTTTTTGCCAATTTTCTTCTGTGTCATTAAAAAACCCCTGAAATATTAAAAAAATATTATTAAGACTTACATTCACCTTTTACTTCAGTAATTTTAATGGCTACAAGAGTAAGTAGTTACTACTTCTTCCTCCTAAAGTCATCTTTAACTACATATGGAGATAAAACCAGTTACTTATATTAGCCACTGTCTCACACCTCAGAATCTGAAAGTGTAGACACAGTGACCCTGCTTTCACAAATACAGTTCACCTTCCTTACATATACATCTCTTTAAATAAGTCCTCATATCCTCTGATAGCTCACATCTCCAATTCCTGACAACCACTTGCTCTGTTTCATAAACAATAAATGGATTCAAAGTATTTCAAAAGACATTCAATACTTCACAGCCAACAAGCACTTAGGGTGTGTAAAAGGAAAGAAGGGACTAGCAAGAGTATTCCTTTGTTTTCCTTGCACATTTCTCAACTTTGCTTTCAAGCTTTTTATACACATCTATCACATGTTTATCACTGATTCCTATTCAATCCTGTTGAGTATGTAATATGTTAAGTCATTTACTTTTTGCAAGACACTATTTTCTCTCATCTTTCTATCAAAATAAAGTTGCACTCCGTTTTCATTTGTGTGGTGCATTTTTTGAGCTTATGTGGTAACTCGCCATGTTAAGTTGAATGACAATAATATTTCGTAGGGATATACAACAGCAAAATAGATCTCTGGGGCAAAAATCTCATTTTATTGTGTGGCTATCTGTATAGCTTGGAGTGCTGCTCAAATAAAACATTCTTTGGGAAAAACCCCGAACTTTTCTAGAACCAGATAAACTTTGGGTCATAGATACAATAATATGTTAATCAGAAAGGCAACTCATTCCAAATTTCACTCCCAGACAGTTACAACTTCTGTCACATTAGGGGAGAAAATAAAAAGTGATGTGCACTACACCACTGAGTGCTCCTCTATCAAATATGTATCTTAACACCTATCAGAGCAAAGATGAATAAACAGGTCTACAATTACCGAAACCTAAAAGGGAATGCTCGTTATGCAAGTGCATTTATTCGATTTTCATTCTGTCACGTATTTTGCTAAGCACTACAATGTTCATAATGCACACATCTTTTCCCTCCTTCTTCACACATACATAAATATTTAGAAAATATCTCAGTATATAACCTCTGTTAATTATCACAGCTAGAACTTTAAGCTACTGCACTATTTTCTATGGCTTTCATTTGAACTATTTTTCATAAGTTTCCTCTAATGGGGGAAGAAAAAAAAAAAGGCAAAAAAGAAAAAACAAACCAACCCCAACCAGATCGTATCTTACCCTATTACCGCATCTTATACGTCTAGGGATCAAAGCATCTTACAGAGACACCTATGTGCTGCATTGAAAGTCTCAGATAAGTGTATTGCCAACTGTTATACACAAAATTTGAGCAAAACCACAGAATCAACCTTCAGGACTTAATTTTACACTACCACCCACATGCATATACTCATGCTCAATTTCACTCCTTAGTTTTGTTTCCTTTAAAACAATACTGCAGTATTACAATAATAAATCTTCAACTTTCATTACAAATTTTGTTCTGAATCTTGTGTAGTTTTATTGTGCAATTAATATTTCAACATACTAAGCGATACTATTTGTCTAGTAAAATTAGAAAACATCCTTTTCTATGTAAACTTGAAAGCAAGTATAGATTCAATAACATACTGAAATATCTCTGACGAAATGTTTTGTAACTTTGTTTATTCTAATGAGACTGCTGGATAAATGATTCATCAGTGCTAAAAATACAGAAGCCGTAAGAGCAAACTAACACAGGAGCTTGCTTACAGAAGTATCACGTACTTGCTTGAAGAAAATAATAGTTGTAAAAATACACAAGCTGTTCTCTAATCAAGTTCAACCAGAATACAGTAGTAGTAGCATATCACTTCTTAAAATGTGATTGGAATCCAACAATACCCATTAATGGTGAAACAGGTGGCCTAATTTTCAGAAGTATTCATTACCAGAAGCTTGGAAAACTCTGGAAAAATCAGGACACAGTAAACTGAAAAGTGACAGTGAATCAAGTTTTCAGACCTAAAGATAGCTAAAAAATAAAGAAAGAAGGAAAGAAAGGAAGGAAGAAAAGCAGAACATATTGTCACAGGATCAATAAACAAACATTTTGCAACACTTTGGTTGAGTATACACTGAAGTCTCATAAGTAAACGCAACACTGAAGTTGGTTTGAGTGTTTGTGTATAAAAGTTTTCTCAGTGTACTTAGGGGAAAAAATGTTTAGGAGGGAATAATTTACATTTATATGCTAAATTCCTATGACAATACGTTCTATTAATGCGCCTCTTGGTTGTTTTTGTGAAACAGAAATTTTTTTTTTGTGAGTTTCCACTATATGTGTCCAGATAATCCTCTTAATATTGCTTTTAAACTTGCATTTGATATACAACATCACACTTTCATCCTCACATCAAGAAAATAGCATTTTAATACAGGGAAACAAAGAAAGGGGAAAAAACCAACAAAATCAGATTTACAGTATGCTTGAAGTCATGAGCATCAATTTGATATTTCTGTTTTCAATACACTTTGTTAGTCAGTCATATTAACATATGTACATATTTGAGTTTCACAGAGACATTTTTGCTTTTGTTTACAATGCCAGTACACGCTTAAGTTTTCAAAAAATTATTACATATAGCCTTTGTTCACACTCATTTCCAGAAAACATTATCTCCTTATTGCCATATTCACCACATTCATATAAACATGCTGAATTTCTCATTCTTGAGGTCTGTTCCTCATTAGCACAACCAGAACTCTGTTTATTTCTTTTCTTTCTTGTCTTCCTTGGATGGGTTTTTAACTACCTTTTTTGTTTCTTTGTCTTTTCCCACCTGAATAGTACCATCTTTTTCACTGGCTGATTTTTTTGTAGCCTCCTTGGATTTCACATTTTTGTCTAGGCTTTTTTCCTTTTCCTTTCCTCTGTCTCTTTTAGCCTTGTCAGAATCTTTCTTTAATTTATTCATATCAACAGCTTTCTTGTCCTTTCGATCAGTAGCATCTTTTCCTTTCCTGGCTTTCTTTTTTCCTTCCTCATCTTTGATTTCCTCCTTCTTGGATTCCTGTTTCTCCTTTAATTTCTTGAGCGGTTCTTTAATTGCTTCTTTTACTTTTTAGTTTTTCATTTAAAAAAGAGGAAATGTTCAATAAGAGAACCATTCTTAGATCAGAAAACATGAGCAACTATCTAAAAGCTTTCATTGAATTCTTACTTAACGTTAGTTAGAAGCCAATTTAAACTTGTATAATTAACTATTTAAGCTTTAAGCCATTTAAACAAATTAGTTCTGACTTTTAGCAGTATCTCACACCATGCAGCCAGCCAATAACCTTAGCTTACTGAAACTGCATCCAAATAAAGCATTAATCTAGTGAAAACCATGCCTCTATTATCTTACCATTAGCTAACTTCTGCAGAATGCTAAGAACAGTTTAGTCTGTGAGCATGAAAATCACAGTACATTTTGAATCTTTGACAACAGTATGACCATTGTAGGATCTAGAAATGTCAAGAGCATCACCAAAATAATTTTTTTCCACAATTTTCTTGACTTCCTAAAACTACAAATGAAAGTGTTATAACAACACAAATGTATATACTACAACATTTTACTGACATTGTTACCTCAGATTAGGCCAAGACTTAAAAATGTATCTTAAGTATATGTTTTACAAAAATAAGAAATAACTATACCATAATTAAGAAGAAACAGCAATGTCCTGGTGAATTAAATCAACTCCAAAAAAGTTAACTTGGTTTGACCATATTCAGTGAAATCAAAGTAACAATTGTAAATTAATTCTTACACTTTTGCTTTTCCATATGTAGCGTTATTAGTAATACTTTTTTGTTTGTTTTACTTTTGGAGTTGTACCTCTTGTGCTTATTTTCTCTATTTCAATTCACATTTGGCTGTGACATGGTATCTAGATAATATATCAGAAGAACAGTCAGAACAGCATCCTTGAAATTTAAATGTTATATATTTACTTCCACTTTGCCCCCAGTTTCGAAAAACATTGTCAGTACCAGCAGCATTCTCCAGAATAAGGAATTTTTAACTCAATAAAATTTATAATTTTTTTCCATTAAATCCCTGTATGCAGTATTTGTATTTAAAATTAATACTCCCACATTATTAAAAAAGCAATAAAGCTTTTATATATAAAATACAACAGCTCTATTTTTATTCAGACTTTTGAGAGAAACTGCAGTCTATTGAGGTAAAAAGCAGGCAAGTGACAACGTTCCTCCTGTAACATCTGCTTCTAACTGCTGTGTAACATTTCTGCCAGTGAACAATTTAATCACACAATCAGTCTAAAAGGATTAACATCACGATTCCTTCCAACTGTTTTTTTGGCATAAAGCATTTGAAATATATCATACCATTTCCTCATTCTCATATCTAACATTGAAAAATAATCCAAAACTCAGCAATGAATTGTTAAATGGCATTTATTACACTCTGGGAACACACAATTTGCGAGCAAGTCATACCAAGCACAATGTGGAACAAATGCTAAAAATTTCAACTTGCATGCAAGATGCTAAGAAAAGTCACATTCATATGAGCATGAGAGCTTCCCTCAACAAATGCACTTTTTTCCTAATGAGACTTTGTATTACAAACAGCGTGCATTTTTCACACACTGCTAGAAAAAACACATTAAAGTCTAAGTGTTTTTAATGCAACAGAGAGACTGTGTTCTTTACATAGCACCATGCTGTGTGGAGATAACTGAGAAAACATCTAAAAAGTTAAGCACCTGAAGTACCTCTGGTAGCTTGCTGTTTTGCTGAGGCTGATTAGCTTTTTTAGTCTCCCTGTTGCACTGAAGACATTTAGACCTGTTTATGTCCTGTTCATACAGCTATATAATTATAAATAAATATGTGGCATAAATCAGTTGCGAGCTATCCTACTTTAAGCTTTCGGAAAATTTATAAGTATCATCACTGCAATCAATCCTGCAAATAATATTAAAGGGGAAGTTACTGAACTTTACCTAAATTTCTCCTTCCATAAGAAATAGATGAAACTACTTAAGTACAGACTTAAGCAGAAATTAAGGTGCTCAAGTCCAATTACAATATAGTAATAGTATCATGAATTCATGGAAGATAACTAAAGGAAGATTTCACACAGACCAAAATCTGCATATATATCAGAACTTTTTTTTTTTTTAAACATGCAGAATATGAAGTTAACATAAACTACTTACAATCCAAACGAGACAACTGTTGTAAAAAAATTTGCACAAACAAAATATAATCTCTAGTTAGGAAAGCACTCGCATTGCCATTAAGTTACAGTCGGTAGTAAAAAAAAAAACACTTACTCAAATATGGGGAGGATAATAGTTTGCTGCACATTAGACCACACTTAGCCAACATAGCTAGTATTAGTAAACATTATTATAACCTGCAATCTGTATTTGCAATGCGCATGCATTTCAGACATCATTATCTGCACAAAGTTCCACAAGAAAAAGAACATTAAAAATACCTTTGACTTTAGTTTTTTTCTTGGCTACCCCTCCTGGTTCCTCACCTGATTTTTTGCAAAATGGAAACAGGTTATGAACATATCTGTGATGTTCAACATGACATAAAATTTTCCAATCTGCCATGCCACGTAAAAAGTTATCTTTACATAGCACACTGCAATGCTATGGAGAGATACCAAATGTTAACTCATTAAGAATAAAGCATCTTCAGTAACAAGACCACCACAAGTGCTGAGATGGAAGACTAATTAATTCAAGAAAAGTACCACATTACCAGATGCATGCTACTTGAGATGCTTCGTAACTTCTTAGAGCTATCTCAGTTCTCTCCAGACAGCATGATGCCACATAATTATGATGAATATCCCAGCTGATTTCTCTATATATTGTGCCAGTTCTCTCTCAAACCCATTAACTTATATTTCTGTACAATTTTATAAATATTTAATTAACATATTAACCCAAAAGATCTTCAAGCACCGATGTACTGCAGATTATATAAATTGAGTATTTTCTTACAATGAATTACAATCTATGTTTCTTTATCCAATGGAATACATGTTTTGGCAAAGGTATTGCTCATATTCCAAAAAGCAGTTGCCATTTCATTTCAATGAAATGAAATGCTTTACTTAAGACTGCTTTACTTAAGACTATTTAAGACTTAAGACTTTTATTAAAAAAATAAACCTTACTCTCCCAAATCAGGTGCTGCCCTCTTTCCCCATTGTACCTAACAGAAATTGAGGTCATTCAGCATCTTGATTGTGCTTTATACCTAGAGTTCCACAGGAGGCATGAAGGCAAAAGCCTTCCCCAAAATACAAATAATAACTAGCCTCATCTTTCTAATACCATAAAAAGAGATTAGATTATCACCATCATGCTGCTGTGGATTAAGACCTAAACCCCATAAATACAACTACCTTAACCACAGAAATCATGTGCATTGCTACCCAAAAACCAACTAGAAAGTTAAGAAAAGTTATGGCAAATACATTTTTAAAACTCATACATAATCTTAGTAAACTAGAAGAGATATTCCCATGTCTCAACATTAGGCTTCTCATTCAGACATATAAAGTGCCTACATTGGACATCTGAACCTCAAGCTTAGGTTTCCAGAAAACAATTAATAACTACCCAAACTGTGTCAATATACCTCAACGTTTATTCTTAAAAAAACAAAACAAACAAAATCCCCATATTCTACACTAAAAAAAAATGCATAAATTTAAAGAATGTAGCCATTAAAGTCATTGTAATCAACTTGCATCTAATTTCTATCTTAGATGTTTTCAAAGTATCAAGCATTGACATTATGGCCAAAATTTCTTAAAAATGGGTTAGCCAGGTAAAAATACAATTTTTAGATCAGTTTCCTTACAAAGTCATATGAAAGCCTTTTTAAGCTCTTCCCTCACAATTACCATCATTGCTGAAGTCCAGAGTTGTAACTTTACTAAATTCATTATTCAATCTTATTACTTCTAAGCAGTGTGTGGAACAGTAAGTAAACAATTTTCTCATATAAAAGGAAGAACAGACTCCAACTTTGTTATATTCCAGCATCAATGAAAATACAAATAATAAAAGGTACTTTGCAAAGTTGCACAAAGCCATATTTAAATTTCTAGCTCCTCCCCTCTTCTCATAGTAAAATCAAATATTACTGGATATTTTAAGATACTCTCTTATAAGCATGTCTTGACAGGGAAAACAGAAAATTTTACAAAGACCTGTATACACAAAGATTATCATACAGATAATTGAAATTGTTTTTACATAAAAGTATATGCACTACATTGAAAGATTACAAAATACCTTGTTCACTGATTATTATTATTTCACTTTTTAAATATTCAGACAAGCAGTAATTTGTTTCAATCTGCTTTTATACAATGAATAGTGTTAAGATTCTCAGCAAATTATCAATGCATGACATAATTCCGTAAATCAGGTACAGTTTAACATATTATGAACAGACCCATTTACAGGAAAAGTATGTAGAATAATATATTTCAACATCTTAATATTATGTAATAATCCCAAGACAGAAATCCTGCTGCATTTTGATTTCTGCCTGGACGGGGTCCCTACAATGGCTACAGCACAGGGAAGTCTCATTTGTAAACCACAAACAAGCTGAAGCAAGACACGGGTGCAAACACTTCACTTTTCCAAGATAGCAGTATCTTGTGGCATGTGATAAAATCTGGCATCTAAGTAAACGCGTTGGCAAAGACTTAGGCTCTTACAGCCTTGGGGCACACAAACCAGTGTCCAGAATTCTATGAATCATGTAACTGAACTTGTGGACCCCTACTCTAAGTTCCAATTCAAGTGCCTTCACACTTTTTTTGAGCAAGTTTAAATTCCTTCTTTTTTCTACTCAGTCCTACCTTATACATGTCCAGTGCTGGCAATACAAAAAGAAATATAGAATTTATAACCACGCACATGATTATAAGGGAATGTCAGAAATGGCTACTATTGGAGTCAGTGAATTAAAAAGAAGACTTCAAAGTTAACATAGCTGGATAGGTTTCCAATATTTTCCAAAGAGCTGCTTTAAACAGTCATACTAAAATTTAAATATTCATGTCAAAGTGGTTATTTTTACATAATGCTTAATGGTAGATAACAGTATCTTAACTGATTCTTTGAAACAGAATATTAGAAAGCATTCTAATTCTGCAACAAATTCCAGTTGTTTCCTCTATTTTTCTCATAAAAATCTTCAAGAACAACCTCCACAAAAAGAACCTCCAAGTGAGAGCACAGCTTTAGAATTTCAGCATCAAAAGAAAAATATGAGATACTATTTTTATGTAGAAAGATAAGCATTGCAAAACAAAAATAATAGATAACGCAAAGCACTCAGTCTTTTTGAGCAGTTTCACAGATGTGACAGATAATATTCTCATAATATCTTGAGAAACCTGAAGTTTATTCTTGCATATGCAGATTTTATATTATTCATTTCATAATACTGAAAACGTTAATATCCTTGCTACACTAATGGCTTTGCCACATGAAAAAATTCCTATAAATCAATTTCACCACAACATTTACCTGCATAAACCCTTTTAACCTGCAGCATCATGCAACAAATGTAAACTAATTAAGGTGGTTTATCCACTTACATGTGAAAAAGGAAGAGACTACTTCACATTTACCACAGAAAGCATACGGTCAAGGTTAGCACTAAGCAGCTGACAGACAGAACTTGCTACCCTTCTGCAATTTGTGCAAAGCCTGGATAACAGAACAGAAAGTGTCAAGCTTTAAACATTAGGGCTTGTGTTCAGACTCTTGCCTTAATTCATGAGGTCCCATCAAAAACCTCCTTCACCACACAGAAAATTAGTAAAAGATGTTAAAATTGCAGAACTAAAAAAGGAAATACAAATCTGTAAGACAAAACCATTATTAACCTTTTTTCTCTCCTTTTTGTTTTCCTTCTCCAGCAGAACTGCAAGTCAGAAAAAGCTATGATTGTTTGCATATGCACCTGCACATAATTATTACTATTATTCTGCATTTATAATATGCTACATTGGATATACAAGGTCTTCTGTTAAACAAAATAGCTTAATGGCAGAAGGCTAGCACCCACTTACCTTAAACTGAACTCATTACCTGTATGCAGATTGCCAGGCATACCACAGCCTGTAACCCTCCCAAATGCAAGAGAGCTTTTTTAATTCATACAACTAGCATAAAAAAAACACAAAACAAAAAACTCTCAATACATTCTCAGTAAGTTGCTTTAATATCTCTTGCTTATTTAATTGCCTAATTTTAGAAGAAAAATTCAAATCAGAGACTCAAGGCAGAAAGCACTTTCTGAAGTCACAGGTGCATATGTTGCATCTTGTATGATAAGATATAAGAAACCAACAAGCAAGTCTTGCCTATATTAGCCTCATCTTTAGGAATCCATCCTAACTGACCATACGAAAGACAGCATTTAATGTATTTCATGCTGCTGTGCCATCATTACAATAGCTGCTTAACTGATAGCAACTGAATAGGGAAAAGAGTATGCATCTGTCCAAAATGACTGAACTGTATGCAACAGCGTTCCCCAGCACTCAAATACTAATCAAATCATGTTTACAATATAGGTGTTTTTTTCTGCCATTTGACCATTAACTACTATGAAATGAAACGAAAATACTTCTAATGCTTCAATGCATTTGTCTTTTACCCCTCCATCCAACTGTAACCTATATGAATAACTGTTACAAAAAATCAGTTTCTTCTAAGGCCAGTCAATGGAGACTAACTAATAATGCAAAATTACCATAAAATGAAACCTACAGGTGGTAAGACTTATTCACTGACCTTGAATCAAATTTCATGAGTGAAAGATTGAACATGCTCTCAAAAAAGCTCATTTTTTGAAGAAAAAAAGTTGTTGCAATAAGAATGTCAACAGATATGCAAACAATTTTCTTTTTATTCTATTCAATTCTAAGTTATTCTATATGAGCATTGTGATTTCTCCCCCATCCCCCCCATATAAAACACTGTTTTACTTTCAAATTAAATATTGTTGAAGGTGGTCACAGAAATCTGGGGTTCAAACCTTCCGTAAGTTCTCAGCCATTTCAGATATATGGGTATTAAGGTTTTTTCCCCCTACAATTTCTTTACATTAGTATCACAACAAAGCAAGCAAGAGCTTATGCTACAAAGTTTAATGCAGCATTTTGTTTGAAGGTTGTAAATGTCTGCTGAAGACTGGCAGTTAAAATATCAAACATTTACCAACACTAGAAAATGGCAAAGCAAAACATCCTGCACATTTCTAAAACTGATGGCCAAACTGGAAGACTACAACTTTAGTCACAGACATTTACTTCTGCAGCTCTGTAAAATTTAATATAAGTGACCTGTAAGGAATATGAAAATGAAAGCTCTGTGTTCAATTTGACATAAAATCACTAAATTTTCATTCTTTACTAGCTACAAAACCTAGGAAGTTCCTATCACTTGAACAATGTATTTTCCTTATTAAAAACATGGTTTGCTACTA